ATCACTCCACTAAGTCCACTACCCAACAAGTTCATCGAATTATAAATGAAATATCAAAAAGTCTTGAAGAAAAGAAATACTACGACGCTGTATTTCTAGACGTCTCACAAGCGTTTGAAAAATTTGACACAGAGGTCTGCTTTACAAACTTAAAATAGCACTGTCCAGTAACTGTTTCCTCCTACTTAAATCCTACATATCAAATATATATTTCTCTATAAAATTCAAAGACCTCCAACAATCCAACCTCTGTCCTATCAACTCCGTAGTGTCGCAGGAAAGTGTTCTAGGGCCGCTGCTTTTCTCACTCTACACAGCCGATATCATCATCATCCAGGCGAATTGTCACATCCATTGTTGGATATAGGCCTCCTCCAAACGTCTCCAGTTCTCTCTATCTCTAGCTGCTGCAATCCAGTTTGTTTCTATCCTCCTTAGGTCGTCGGTCCATCGGGTGGGTGGTCTGCCTCGACTTCACTTGTCGGCTCTTGGTCTCCACTCCAATAATCTCTTCGTCCATCTTCCGTCTTCCATTCTAGCAACATGTCCAGTCCACCTCCACTTTTGTTTATTGATTCGCAGTATAATATCGTCTACGCCAGTTCGTCGGCGTATCTCCTCATTTATTACGCGATCTTTCAAGGTCAGGCCCAGCATTGATCTCTCCATTCGCCTTTGTGTTACCCTCAGTTTTTCGGCAGTAGCTTTCGTTAAAGTTAAGGTATCTGCTCCGTAGGTCAAGACTGGTAAGATGCATTGGTTAAATGCCGCCTTCCTTTTCAGGTGAATTGGGATATTTGTTTTAAAAATGTCTCTCATCCGTCCATATGCCGACCATCCCAACATGATTCGTCTATTTAGCTCGCAGGTTTGGTTGTCTCTGGTTATTCTAATTTTATGACCCAAGTATGTGTATTTATCGATTAATTCTACCTTGTTGTTATTGATCTGTATCTCTTCGCTGGGAACCATATAGGTCATCATTTTGGTTTTCTCGAAATTTATCTCCAGCCCAGTTTCTTGTAATATGTCATTCAGTTCTTGGAGCATGTCTTTGATCTCTCCCAGATTATATCTGACAGAAGCACGATATCGTCCGCAAAACGTAGATGGTTTAATCTTTCTCCATCGATGGATATTCCTTTCTGTTGCCATATTAGTTTTTTGAATGTATACTCAAGAACGGTAATGAACAGCTTTGATGCTCTGCATTAGTTGCAGAATATAGACTTATGGTTGTTGTGGCATTTTCATATATATTTTTAATTATATTACAATATCTGTGGTCGATCCTGCAATCTTGTAGTGCTCTTAAGATGGACGGTAGTTCCACTGTATCAAACGCCTTTTTAAAGTCTACAAATATCAATGCCAAGGGACGGTTATATTCGTTAGTTTTTTTCTATTAGGGTTTTTAGGCACTGCAGGTGATCGTTTGTGCCGTAATTAGGGCGGAAACCAGCTTGTTCCCGAGGTTGGTAAAAATCCAGCTTTGTCTCTAATCTATTCGTTATTATTCGGGTGTATAATTTATAAAGATGGTTAAGGAGACTGATTGGTCTGTATCTTTCCAGGTCTGCTACATCTCCCTTCTTGTGTAAGAGTACAGTTATTCAATTATTCCACTTTGTTGGGATATTTTGATTCCATACGCATAAATTAAAGAGCTTTTGAATTTTGGCTATCAGTACTGAGCCTCCTATCTTTATCGCTTCGGTGACGACACCGTCCTCCCCCGGAGCTTTGTTATTCTTAATCTTTTTTAGGGCCTTATAAATTTCGTTCAAGGAGATTTCTGGAATATCTTCGGAACCCTGATTTTGAACCTTCCTCTGTTGATATTCGACTATATCTAGAGTCGATTGGTTGCTATATAATGTCTCATAGAATGATTCCATAATTTGTAACAAATGTTCTCTGTTTGATGTGATGTTGCCATTTCTATCCTTGAGTTTGACTATTTGTTTATTTCCATTTGTGAGTTTGCGTCTCATTATTTTCATACTCTTATTTTCCTCAATGGTTTTGATGATTTTCTCATCTTTGTATTTTTCTTAAGTCTTTTCTGATTTCTCTTGATACTTCCTTTATCGTCGTTACTAGAGTTTTCGTCGCTTCTCAGTATTCTTCTTTGTTCCATTTTTTTCTGTGTTTCCAGACTAATTTTTTCTTCTTTCACGCTTTTTGGGCAGCATTTCTTTTGAGCTTCTGTTATTGCTTCTACTATTATGTCATTTAGAATGTTAATATCATTTGTTGATGATTTTTCTTGAACGAATTTACCGATATGCTCTTCAAAATTTTGTTCGTTGTTTGGATGTGTCCATCTGTTTATTTGCTTCTTTTTTATCATATTGTGTTGTTCATAGTTGGTATTTAACACAATGGTGGCTCTCACCATATCATGGTCGCTTGATTTCGCAAATTTATTTAGCACTGTCACATCTGTAACAGCCGATATACCAGACACTAATAACACTACAATCCTTTGCTGCGACGTAGCAATACTAGCTGTAAATGAAAATCCTATACAAGTCTCACAAAACTTGAAACATCATCTGAACATACTCAGTGATTGGTATACGAAATGGGAACAAAAGTAAATAAAACAAATTCAACTTAAATAACATTTACCAACCGTCACAACATATGCACACCTGTAAAAATTGAAAACGTAAGGATACCAACAGCAACAGACGCTAGATACCTTGGTCTCCATCTTGACCAACGTCTTACTTGGAAGAAACATATCCAGACCAAAAGAAGGCAGCTCGACTTAAAATTTCGGCTACGGACTACATCTATGGGTCTGTGCAAAGCCAACGTCGCTGAATATTATCCAAAGATTTCAGTCTAAAATGGTAAGATCGATAGTGGATGCACCATGGTACGTAAGCAATCTTCGCTACAACTTAAAGATTCCTTTTGGGATCAAGGGTGAAACCAAACCAAACAAGGGTGAAATATTATGACCTACGGTGCAGAAAAAATAATAATAAACAAATAAATTAGCAGTAAGTTAGTTGATACAGGAATAAAATAACAAGAAAGATCGTGACATGTATCTAAAATGAATAGAAAAGGAAACCATAAAATAAGACAACGGAAAATACTAAAAAAATATATTAAATTTAACAGAAAAGATATTTAATAAAGAAACTAACACAGTGGAATCCCTTACATAGATAAAGGCAGAAGAGCTAGATCTAAAGGTTTTGAAAATACTAGATAGACGAAGATCTATTAAACATATGTATGACAGGCAACGAATGGAGAGTGAAAGTTAATGTTTTAACATTGGACTGTTATCGGATTGATTTGATTTTTACTATTATTACCTAATACTCAAAGTTGTCATCTGTCTGTGTCGCTAGACTTATCGCTCATTTTAGATTTTCTATTGCCAGATATTAGCTCATATTGTAGCATACTTTATACACTATACACACATACCGGGTGGTAAATGGGCAAACGGGCCATAGAAAATTAATGCGAAATTCTAACTATTGAATCTAAGACTTAGAAATATACGATATATTCCAAATTTTTTCATTAATATAATACATTTGCTAGAGTATTGTTGTAAAAGTTAGGCCACACGTATTGAGTTCAGTCACAATGCGTTCGAGTACTGCCAGATTTTTTTTTACTATTTAGTATCAGTTGCATCAACTTCTTCAACTTGGGGTGTCTATCCGTTAAGGATGTTGGCTACTAGCATGGCAATTCTAACTTTATTCATCGCAGCTCGAAATAGTCCTGAAGTAGTCAAGGAAAACCATTTTCGTGAGTTTTGGAGCCGAGATATTCTTCTTCCTAATCCCCTTTTTCCGTAGACCTTTACCTGTAATATAAGTTGCAGCAGGTTATATTTGTGGTCGTTTCGCATTATATGTCCAAGATATTCTAGCTTGCGCTGTTTCACTGTGGATATAATTTCACATGTTTTATCCATCTGTGATCTACGGATGTGAAACCTGGAAAGCGACAAAAACCCTTACAGACAAACTGCAGGTCTTTGTTAATAAATGTCTAAGAAGAATTGTTCGTATTTTCTGGCCTAACATCATCAGAAACGAAGATTGACTACACCTGACCAAACAAAAGAGGGTAGTAAATGAAATAAAGTCAAGAAAGTGGGGTTGGATCGGTCACACACTCCGAAAAAATAACTCCAGTATTGCAAAGACTGCCCTAGAGTGGAATCCCCAAGGAAAACGAAAAAAAGGTCGCCCAGTACAAACTTGGAGAAGATCCATCATGGACGAGATAAGAAAACAAGGAAAGTCTTGGAATGAGGTGAAGGCCTTAGCGCAAAATAGAACCCGATGGCGCGTTTTCACTAAAGCTCTATGCTCCACTTAGGAGTTCAAGAACCTTATATATATATATATATATATATATATATATATATATATATATATATATATATATATATATCCATCTGACGTAGAACTTTATTGTTTGTTACTCGGTCCAACCAAGAGATCCTCAGTCCATGATTCAACCCCATAGAGCAACACTGTAAACACGTAGCATCTCAATAAACTGATTCATCAAGTTTCCCGGAGTACCAGAGGAGTCTACAGTTTATCATTTTGTCCATAATTTTACATATGACATTTGTTAGGGATATTGGTCTATATGAGTCTGATTTTGTTCTAAGTTTGTCCGGTTTTGCCAGATTTCTATTTAGCGTAAGATATTCTAAGAGAAAGTTTGGATTGTGTTAATTCGTAGAACAATTTTAACATTTATGTTTAATACAGATTTCAGTTCTCTACAACGCATTTCGCATGACGTTAATTTAAAATACTAAGGAAAGCAAGAAATGAATAATTTAGAATTTCCCATGGAGTTTTCTATGGCCCGTTTGATGATTCACTCCCAGGTATACCAGCAATTGAAGTTTTTATGAGAAATTGTACTGAAGTTGTGAAAATTTACAATTTTAAGCATTATCGTTTGCACCATATACTTAACTATTACATCTATTTTAGGAGGGCGAAAGAAAAAAGGCTAAAAAAGGACGCTGGAAGAACGAGATGGAGTCAATATTTTAGATCTATGAAAGGAGGATCATCACCTAGACACGATAAATTATTAGACAAAGATGAAATGAAAGTTGACTTGGATAGTTTTAGTCATCATGGTAAGTATTAGGCATTTCTTAATATAATTACAACAAGCAAAGGGTATTTACTTGACGAAATTTTGGTTGAATTATTATAAAATTCTAGTATGTGCTGGATAGGAAAAATATCGTTGTTGACGCCGATCACAAGGCATAGACATTTAAATACAAATAGACTGAGTGTTACATTACAGTCGCGTTCCCCCAGTGCGACAGAGAAAACTGACACAAAGCAGTATCTGCATCTCTTTCTAATTTGACAGCTTCATCGACCACATAACCGAAATGCGGCTGTATGGCATCCTTAGACAAGGAAAGAGAGAGGACGGGTAACGCTCGTTCAACCAACCTTCAAAAAGTGATACCACTTTTTGATGTGTCCGCCATTTTTTTGGCAACGACATCGTACCAGGGATAAAACAGCGTCATAACGAAGATATCAGAAATGAAAATGGAGATCTCCTCACGGACCTATGTAGCACGAATGAACTACGCATCAACAACACTTTTTTCCCTCTTAAGGAACAATACAAATACACATTCGAAAATACAAGAGGTCAAAGGTCAATGATAGACTACATCTTGACGAACAGGGTAATACATCCCTCTCAAGTATTGGGCATAAGAGCACTAACACCTGCAGAAATAGGAAGCGACCATAAGCTTATACTTGGAAAAATCAGAATGACGACACGCATATGTAACAATAAAAACAATAAAAATAAAAAAGAAGAATACACCACAAAGGTAAAATTCGAGAGTCTGCAGAACGAATCAACAAAACTTCTATACCAAAAGAGAGTCAAAGATAAACTCGACAACGTGCACATCGTAGAAAGTGATGGAATCGAAGAAAGCTGGGCGAAAATTAAAGCAAGCATCCTATATTCAGCAAAAGAAGCTGTAGGAGAAAGGAAAATTCTTAAAAATAAATATTTTCAAAAGCGGAAAGCTCCGTGGTTCTGCGCAGAAGTGAAATAAAAATGCAAAGAAAAAAGAAAGCTTACTTAAGATACATGTCTAACAAAACACCACAAGAATACAACAATTACAAAAAGATAAGAAACGAAACAATAGCACGCACTAGTGAGAAAAATTAAAAACGAACACTGGGAACGCTTCTCAAAAGAAATGGAACACGACTTTTACGGTCTACAAAAGGCAAGATGGCGTTTCATAATAGGCCAAAGATCAGATATGAAAGACTTAATCGAACCGAAACACATAGATAACGACACATGGATTGAATACCTAAAGAAGCTTTATAATGATGAACAGCAAATGATGTTAGAACCAGAAACACCAGAAATCATTACAAACGAGGAAGTCGAGATAACCGTACAAGAAGTAAAACAAACTTTAGAAAAACTGAAGAACAGAAAAGCTGCAGGTAAAGATGGAATTCCAAATGAATTATTGAAATATGGTGGAGAAGCATTAACAGAACAGCTAACAGCTCTAATTAACAAAATCATCAAACATAATAAAATACCTGAAGAGTGGAAGAAAAGCAAGCTTATCCTACTATACAAAAAAGGAGATAAAAACAACCTGAAAACTACAGAGGTATCAACTTATTAAACACCACTTTGAAGCTTACAACCAAAACAAGGAAAAATAAATCAGAGAATTACCGTAGCGGATGAGAAAGCGTTCGATAAAGTAAAGCTTAAAGATGTAATTCACATTCTTTACGATAGAGAAATTCCACTAAATGTTATAAAAACAATGGAGAACATTTACCAGAACAACAATATGGAAGTCAGAATAGATGACCAGCTTACAGATCCAATAGATATGGGCAATGGAATAAGACAAGGAGACTCGCTTAGTCCAACGCTATTCAATCTAATCATGGATGAAATCATCAATACTATTAATAAAGGAAGGGGATAAAAATGGGGAACAAAGAAATCAGAATACTCTGCTATGCAGATGATGCGGCCCTAATTGCATCCAATGAAGACGATCTACAAAGACTAACCCATAGATTCAACACAAGGGCAAAGGACTTTAATATGGTGATTTCTACACAGAAAACTAAAACAATTGTAATCAGTAAAGAACCAATTAGATGTAAACTGGAAATCGACGGTATCAGCATTAAGCAAGTAATGGAGACAAATTACCTAGGAATTACACTGTCTAGCTACGGAGATGTGGAGAAGGAAGTGAAAAATCAAGTACAAAAGGCTAATAAAATAGCAGGTTGTCTTAATAACACGATATGGCGCAATCCCCACATTAATACCGACGTGAAATCAAGAATCTACAAAGCAACAATAAGACCAATAATGACATACACTTCAGAGACAAGACCGGATACCTCCAAAACTCAGCAACTACTAGAAACAGCGGAGATGCGTTTACTGAGGAGAATTACAGGAAACACACTGAGGGATCGAATGAGGAGTGAAGAGATCAGAATAAAATGCAATATACCAGAAATAAATGAGTGGACACTGAACAGAAAAAAGGAATGGAACGAACACATAAACAGAATGGAAGAGACCCGATTAGTCAGAATAGCGAGGGACAAATCACCAAAAGGTAGAAGAAGTATCGGGCGACCACGCAAAAGATGGAGTGATAACCTCCAATAGAGGCATTAATCGACATTGAACAAGCATTTTGCTTATAAAAAAAGAAGAAGAGAAGAAACAAAAGACCTGACACCAGTTTTGTTTTTGTGGTTTTTTAAAAGAAGTGAATTAACTACCTATTTTTTTTACTTACTATTCACAAATGGTGAATTGTGCATATATTCTTTCTAAAAATCGCAGCGAGCAGAAAACACTAGGAATATCGTTTCATAGGTAAATATTTATAATAGTGAAATTAAGTATTAATTGATTTTACTTTGTATTTTAATTTTAAACCTTAAAACCAATTTAAATTAGTATTTTAAGGAAAGGTGAGATCTAAATTACTAAATAAGAATGCTAAATATGCATAGTTATTTCAGTAATTGTATTATAATTAATAATTTCACTCACAGACCATGATGATTTGCCAGTTTCAGTGGGCGTTGAGGGTTAAAATTCCATAAAATATTCCATAAAATTCCATAAATAAGTAAATAAATAAATAACTTTCGTTAATTTTGATTCCAAAATATTTTTATAAAATAAAATAAATTAAATAAAACATTTAATCTACAAAAATGTTTCATTTGCAATGGGCCGGACATGTGATAAGAATGGTAGAGGATAGGCTACTAAAAAGAGCACTGAATGCTAGAATGCAGGGAAAGAGACCAGTTGGAAAACCAAGAAAGTGCTGGGAAGACACAGTAAATAGCGACGCACAAGCCCTTCTAGGAGTCCGTGTATGGAGAAGATCAGCCACAGACAAGCAAGGGTGGAGGCAAAAAATAAAGGAGGCCAAGGCTCAATTTGGGTTGTAGTGCCGTGGAAGAAGAAGAAGAATTTTTGAGATAGTTCACTTGATTAATAATAGATATTAGTTTTTCTTTTTGGTTACAATAATATATTATTATTAAAACAAAATAAATTAATACTTAAAAAGCAATATCAGGCTATAAAATCCTCAAAAAATTAGTACTGTGTAGAATTTTTTTTTTAATTGAGAATCGTTTAAGTTTTCTTCTTGACCGTGTCTTTTATTGCAACATGATGCATCCAAAAAATTAAAGCACTTTTTGGGGATTGCCGATCGTCTAACTGTTTACTTACCAGAGCCGTCCAAGATAAAAGGATTGAATATAGTGTTACGAACGTGCATTTAACGAGGCACGTATAACGGTTGCATCTCGAAACAGCACCTCATGCTTCCATGCGGCGCGGCGGCATCTCGAAAGCGACTCGAGATTTCGAGAAAGATCAGTCACGTATACGCCTAGAGATGGGAACTTTCTAGAAAATAGTAACTTTGGTATATATATGTAACGATCTTAGGAGTTAGTTTAGTTGATAAGAGAATACCGAACTGTAAAGTTATAAATAAATATATTTATATAAATTCGAACCGCTCGTTTTATTTAAATCACGTTACAGTTGGTGTCCAGTGTGGAGTTTCAACATAAATCCAGCAGTGACTTTTGAAAAAGACTTTAAAACTTTTGAAAAGTATTGTTCGTCGGGAACATCCGCGTAGTTCGGTAGTGACCTTTGTACGAAAAAACATTTAAAAAAGTACGTGTGTGCCTGTACAAAGATGCTGCTAGTACAACTCTCGGTAAAACAGTTGCGTGAGCAATTAGAAGAACGCGATGAAGACTGCAGCGAGTCCAAGAAGATCCTCCAGGAGCGACTAAAGAATGCTCTTAACAAGAATGGAGATGACCCAGAGACATTCCAGTTTCAATCATCAGAAGAAACAGTTTTAACAAAAATAAATGAGAAATTTGAAAATATCTCACAAATGATTGAAGAATCTTCGAAACAAAATGATAGTAAATTTGAAAATATCTCACAAATGATTGAAGAATCTTCGAAACAAAATGATAGTAAATTTGAGAACGTCTTGCAAATGATTGAAGAAACTTCTAAAAAAAATGATGAAACATTTAATGAAACGTCTCAAATTATTAAAGAAGTAGCTAGACAAAACGACGAGAAACTCGAAAATGTGTCAAAAAGATTCGACAAGAAATTTGAAAATGTTTCTCAAATGATGGAAGAAACTTCGAAAAAGAATAATGAGAAATTTGAAGAAGTTTCCAAAACATTCGAAAAAGTAGAAGAGAAGATCAAACAGTTAGAGAGCATGATAACTAATACAAAAATGCTACCACCAGTTAATACGGTAGCTTTAGATCCGGTAGTAAAAGAAGAATCACCGAGAGACGAAACGACACATCATATGAGATTCAAATTGCCACCATTTGATGGAAAGTCCTCTTGGTCTATATACCTTAGACAATTTGAAGCTATTGCGACAGCCAATCATTGGACAGAACAAGAAAAAGCTGTTTCCTTGACTGCTGCTTTACGAGGTGATGCTGCAGATATCCTAAGATCGATTCCTAAGGGTCAAGAAAAATGTTACCAGACCTTGTTCACTCGACTAGACAAACGTTGCGGAGATACCCATCTACAACAAGTCTACAAGGCGCAACTAAGAAGTAGAACTCAACGAGCAAGTGAGAGTTTGCAAGAATTTGAAGCAGATATTGCTCGTATAGCGCTGTTGGCCTATCCAGAGGCACCAGACAACATTTTGGAAGAAATTGCTGTAGATGCCTTCGTCAATGGGTTGAGAGACAGTGAACTACAGAAAGCTTTACGACTAGCAAGACCGAAAGTTTTAGATGAAGCGCTCGCCATTGCCTTGGAACATGAGATAGCTAGTCGAGTTTCACGGAGCTATCAAGTACGAACCTCTGAAGAGAGTGACGAACGAAACGATAAACGTCTGGAGGAAATTGTACGGAAAGTAGTTCGTAACATGATACCGAAGAGACGTGAACCCAGATGTTGGAATGGTAACAACGAAGGTCACATTCGCCACAAAGTGCAAGAAAATAATACAACAGTCAGAAAACTAGAACAGATCGAGCACGCTAGAAAAAGTCATTCAAATGCTGATGTTCAATCAAGACGGCCATACAGTAAAAATCGTAATCATTGTCTTAAATTAGAAGAAAGACTTTGCCCCGTGAGACGAACCACCGTCATTAATGATCAATGGCAGCCTCAACAGCTACAAGACGCTCAAGCAGATGATCCATGTATAAAAAGAGTATTGGATTGGATGCGTCGAAGTAAAAGGCCCTCTTGGCAAGACATTAGTGCATGTAGTCCTGAAGTCAAGTGTTACTGGAGCCAATGGAATTGCCTAGTGTTAAAAGATGATCTTCTTTATAGAACCTTCGAGAACGATGATGGTACAGAATCTAAGCTTCAGTTGATTGTACCTAAAAGTAAAGTGTCAGAAGTATTGCGTCAGTTACATGACGGTGCATCAGGTGGACACTTTGGTATTACGAAGACTCTGCAAAAGGTTCGAGAACGGTTCTATTGGGTGAACTGTAAAGATGATGTAAGAAGATGGTGCCGGAAATGTGAACTGTGTGCAACCAGTAATGGTCCAGTTGGTAAAAAGAGGGCACCCATGAAACAGTACAATGTTGGTGGTCCTATGGAACGAGTAGCAATCGATATTGCAGGTCCACTTCCAGAGACAAATGATGGAAATAAATATATCCTGGTAGCCATGGATTATTTTACGAAATGAACTGAGGCCTATGCGCTACCAAATCAAGAAGCTGCTACCGTTGCAGAGGTACTTGTTAAAGAATTCTTTAGCCGATTTGGTGTTCCCTTGGAGATCCACTCCGACCAAGGGCGAAACTTCGAGTCAAACCTTTTCCAAAACGTTTGTAAATTGATTGGTGTCAATAAGACCAGAACGACACCCCTGCATCCTCAATCAGATGGAATGGTCGAGAGGATGAATCGAACGATGGGTAAACACCTGTCCAAAGTTGTATCAAAACATCAAAGAGATTGGGATCAGCACATTCATTTATTCTTAATGGCATACCGCTCGGCCGTGAATGAAACTACAGGCCAGACTCCAACCTGCCTGATGTTAGGTCGTGAAGTTCGTTTGCCCTGCGACCTAGAGTTTGGCTGCAGACCTTCCGAAGAACATGTTGCAAGCGAAGATTATGTCGATCGTCTGAAGTTAAGAATGAACAGCATTCATGAACTTGCCCGACAACACATCCAGTTAGCCAGTGACAGAATGAAAGATCAATACGATTCTCGATGCAAGAATGAAAGCTATGAAGTAGGTGATCTTGTTTGGCTTTATAATCCACAACGTCGTCGTGGCTTGTCTCCTAAACTGCAAAGACAATGGGAGGGTCCGTATGAAATTAAAAAGAGAATAAATGACGTAATATACCGAATTAAGAAGTTGCCGAAAGGCAAACCAAAAGTAGTTCACATAAATCGTCTTGCCCCTTATGCTGGCTCAAATGAAACCGAAGAAGTCCGAACCCTTCAACATGAGATCAAAGATAAACGGCGACCAAGCTTTAAGGAGTTTATGTCAAATTACGCAGAGAGAAAGAATGCTAGATTCGGCGTGACGACAGAAGTTCAGCAGGATCTTTTTAGTGTTCCGCATAACGTCACTCTAGCCCACTGTGTTGCCCAAGATCTTAAGATGACTAAAGGAATCTCATCCATATTTTATAAGAAGTTCGGTCGTTTGGACGAGTTAAAAAACCAGCAGCCTAAAGTTGGAAGAGTACTGAGATTAGAAGATGGTTCTCGATCTTTGCTGTATATGGTGACCAGGAAGTCGTATACAGACAGGGCAACCTACGAGGATATATGGTGTGCTCTAACTAATTTGAAGAAAATCGTCTGCAATTACGACATTAAGAATTTGGCCTTACCCAAGATAGGCCATGCACTAGATAATCTGGATTGGAAGATTGTCAGAAGCATGCTAGAAGTGATATTCCGAGAAACCGGTGTAAGAATTACCGTGTGTTGCACTAATCCAAAGAGATTGTGTTCTTCAAAGACAGTAGACTGTTATTTCTTTCTGAGGGGTTCATGCAGAGCTGGAGAGTCCTGTAGATTCCGCCATCCTGGGCCTACATATAGAGTTGCTGATCGGGACGCTCAGATCTAAGAGGGGAGCAGTGTTACGAACGTGCATTTAACGAGGCGCGTATAACGGTTGCATCTCGAAACAGCACCTCATGCTTCTATGCGGCGCGGCGGCATCTCGAAAGCGACTCGATATTTCGAGAAAGATCAGTCACGTATACGCCTAGAGGTGGGAACTTTCTAGAAAATAGTAACTTTGGTATATATATGTAACGATCTTAGGAGTTAGTTTAGTTGATAAGAGAATACCGAACTGTAAAGTTATAAATAAATATATTTATATAAATTCGAACCGCTCGTTTTATTTAAATCACGTTACAATAGGTTAAATATATTTCGTACAAAAATCATCTTAAAATCGACTTTTAACAAAATACTTTTTTTTTCAGATTTAAGTGACGATAGTTATGGAACTGTAGTAAATATGGGAATGGATCAAGACGGATCGTCACCACACAGTGGAATCGGAAGACCGTCGTTTCTCCACGGAGCCACTTCTCCACCATATTTACCTGGGCATGCCTCACCGCACGGCCATGATCATTTCTCCTCATATCCCGATCAACTCTCAGTTTACGCTAGTTTAGGTAAATATAAACATTTGATGATAACTGTATTTGACAAATACGTCATCAAAAAAATGTTTTCACAATACGAAAAATATTAATAATTATCCGCAGCATCTTTCTTTCCAGTACCAGTCATTTTGTCGTTTCCCGCTGGTTCACAGTCTTGGTCTTGCCCTTGTTGACCTTGAAACCAACTTTTTACTACCATATTGTTGGCTAAATCGAATTCTGCCAGTCTTAATCCGTTATCATTAGTGTTATCATGTTTACTCTTTACCCAATTTGGCATTGAAGTGTCCCAGTATGATTTTGACGTCGTATCTGGGTGCCGTTGTGCACTGTTGTTCTAACATTTTGTAAAATTCCTTAGGATTGTTCTGTTTATTTTGAATCTCATTGATTGTCATAGCGAAATCTGCCTTGACAGAAATTTAACTTACCAGTCAAAACCATGACTTAAGTCATATTGAACTCCGAGAATCATAACCATTAATGAAATTCCGTTACATCATCTCAACTGCGCTTTATAATCGGTACATATACAAGTTTCTCAGCAGCAAAATAAACGTCCCACCTTTGGGCTAGAAATGATGTGATAGCATTCCAGATGAATTTAGATTCTTTAAAAATTCTTTAGACTATTTTCAATAATTATTTCTAGCTTGATTTTTCGATAAACTAATTCTTTTGATACGCGATTCCCGATAAAGTTTGCGGACGCAATAACAAGACAACCTTAAAAGGTATGCCGAACAACAAAAAAAAAGTAAAGAAAATCCTACGAGCACGGAATAGAAAGCATATGGATGATAAAGTAAAGCGTATTGAAGAAAATTACAAGAAGAATAAAATAAAACATTTTTACAAAGAGGTAAAATAGATTAAAACTGGGTATCAGGGAAGAACGATGAATGAAAAAGATAAGCAAGGAAACCTGATAGTGGACAAAGACCAAATATGTAAAAGGTGGAAAGAATATTTCAAAGAGATGTTAGATGACGTAGTGACTACTGAAGAAAATTGTAATGTTCCTAAACGTCAAATAGTAGTAGAAGAAATACCAAAGCCCACAAGAGAAGAAATTGAAGAAAAACTAAAAGATATGAAAAATCAAAAAGCCCCGGGAAAAGCGTCATTGTAGCAGAGAACTTAAAATATGAAGGGGAGGCTTTAATAAAGCAACTTAGTGTGCTAATACTAGAAGTGTGGGATGCCAAAGAAATGCCTCAAGAATGGAACAAATGCATTATAATTCCTAAACACAAAAAGTACCAGGGAGGATTTCGCAAGGGAAAGTCAACAACCAATCAAATTTTTATGTTAAAACAAATCCTGATTAATTGCTACGAATACAACATTTCAGCACAAGTACTTTTCATTGATTACAAAACCGCCTACGATACAATAGACAGAAACTAATTAATGGAAACGCTAAAAGAATTACAAGTGCAAAAAAACTGACAATTAGACAAACTATTTGTGCTGCAAAATACAACGGTACAGTCTCAGAAGAATTCAAAGTGAAAAAAGGTGTTCGCCAAGGAGGACCGTTGTCTACTTTGCTATTCAATATAGTTCTCGAAAAAATTGTAAGAGTTAGTGGGATAAATAGATCCGGCACTATTTTATACAAAGAGTACCAATGTTTAGCATACGCTGATGATGTATCTCTCGTTGCAAGAAATGGAAAAGAACTATTAAATATAGCAAAAAGACAGATTCGGTAAAGCTCTAAAATGAAACCTAAAGTTAATACTGTTAAAACTAAGAACATGGAAATCTCGAGCAAAAAAGGAATAACCACTAGGGGCACCTTTAAATTGGAAGTGGAGGATGAATCAATTGTAGAATTCGAAGAGGTGGATGAATATATGTACTTAGGTGCTCGTATTGATCAGACCTGTAAGAAAAAAACTGCTGAAAAAACAACAGATGCGCTAGAGTCATGAGCAAAATTATTAAGGCCAAAGATGTATCTTGTAATACAAAAATAAGAGTTTACAAAACTACAATTAGACCCAAAATGCTATACGCTGCCGAGACATGGACTATGAACAAAACCATACAGAACAGATTTCTTCGCAGAATGTCTGATGGAAAGTAGACGAACTAATGCAGAAGTATACCAATTGTATGCTTACTCTGCAATAACAAAAGCGGCGAATAAAAGTAGACTAGAATTACTCGGACAGCTAGAAAGAATGCAAGGTAATAGATTAGTCAAGAATATTGTTTAGAGAGACTTTAGCAAGACCAAGAAAGAAATGAAAAGATGTAGTGATGGAAGATGTGAGAGAGATGGGAATCAGTGATTGGAAGCTGATAGCTAAAAACAGAAAACGATGGAAATTATCCATTCAGCAATAGGCCTAAAAGGCCAGTTAACGCTATACATACATACAATCATTTTGGTGCTCTTCATTATGCATTGGACCATTGAACGTACATTTTATATTGTACTGTGTTGCCTACAGAGTTAGAATTGTCAGTTGTCCATGATATTTCATATAGAAATGGTAGAAATTATAAAATTCTTAAAGAAACAACATATTTACCGATTTCTTCCCCTTTGGACGTGTTAAAAGGATAAGGATAATTTCCTGATGCAATACTCGTTGTCCATCATTTGCCTCCTCTTCTAGCTCAACGGTGTTATCTCTTTGGTCTTCAAACAGTCTCTTTAAGTATTTTTTATACGTTCTTATTATACTGAGTTTGTTGAAAATACTGTATCTGTCAGACTCAGTTTCAGAATTTCAATTTCTTCGCATCTTTTTACTGTTTTTGTTCTTTAAATTCCCTGTTTTTATTCTTTAAATTTTTGCTGTAATATGTTTAATCTTTTTTTCTCCGTTCGTTTAGTCCCCGATCGCAGTAACTTACTCGTTTATCATAGCTTGGACCTCCATTTTCATATTATACTTTTAACTTTTATCATATGCTTGTGATTTTCTTTTCTACATTTTTTGAGTTTTACTCGGAATATTCACACCAGTGGAACGTCTTCTTTCTCCATGTGTGCAATGTAATCTATTTCATTTCTCTCGGGTTTATCTTGAGGGGGTTTCTATATGTACAGCTTTAGAGGTAGTAATAGAGAACTGCTAAAGACTGTTAAACATCGAAAAGTGTCTTATCTGGGACATATAGTAAGGGGAAGTCCATATAAAATTTTACAAATGACTTTTAAAGGCAAAATAGAGGGCCGTAGAGGTGAAGGAATAAAACAAGTTTCTTGGTTAAAAAACATTCGTGAATGGACTCAGATACCAAATGCAGAACAATTATTCCATATTGCAGAAGATCAAAAAGCCTTCGCAATGGTGACCCCCAACGTCGGATAATTCTGATATGGCAGCTTCAAGCTTGGCGTTAAAATCTCCCATATGCATGAGCACTTCTGGTCTTGGATTTTCTTTTTAAATTCAACATAAATCTCGTTTTAAAATTTAAGAACGTTTAAGAATGAATAAAAGCCCAGTCAGGTTTTAATAAACGAAGTACTGCTTGAACTGACCTCCACTACCTTTCATACGATGATGCAATGTTGATTCAAATCTAGATCTTATGTTTTTAAAAACCTCAGAAGTTATTCTCCGGCATTCGACGATAAATATTTTCGAAGTTCTTGTGTAGTTTCGGGTTAAGTGGAGTAAATAGTTAATTTAAGATGATTCAGAGGAAAAAATCCAAGGGATTGCTACCTGTAGACCTAGGTGACCATTTTATTGCAATTCTCCCAATCAATCCACCGTGCGACAAAACGCTCATTTAAAAACTCTCGAACCTGAACATTAACTGATCCTCTAACAGGCTATCGTCGTTTTCTAAAATGTCCATGATCATAAGTTCAATGGTATTCTATGTTTTCAGGTAAGTAGATCCACTTTAGATTCACTAGATTTCTATCACCGAAAAGTGGTGTCGGAATATGGTATCTTTAATTTCCGAATAGAATTTTTTAATCTGTTGTATTTTTCATTGTTGTTCAGATAGTTTTTCCAAATTTTATTAAAACTGTGATAATTATTTGACAAATCAAGTCCTTAAACTATTTACTATCTTAGAAAACTTACCATAATAGCTCAACTAAAAATTAAAGAGGTTCTTCGGTTTTCAATGTAATAAAAATGCCGAGAAACTATACATACTGCCTACTTTTAAATAAAATTTATTGCAGTCTCTCCCACACCCGTCCCAACACTAGTTGTTACTCACTCATACTCAGACATAATATCATTATCTTTATATAATGCATAATATACTTTAATCTAAAGTTAAATTGTTAAAAACGCGCTGTTTACCTAGCGCCATCTGTTGCAAATGTAAAAAAAAATAATTTTTTGCCTCTTACTTGGTAATAATAGAATGCTGCAATTACAAACTAAAGTAATTACTGAGATCACAATATAAAATTTAAAACAAAAATAAGATATACCCAATTTGATTAATTATTTTATTTTTATAGGTCAAGGTGCTCATTCTGGCATGCCATTAGCTCACAACATTCCTGCGGGTGCCGACACGGACATCAGCAACGACAGCAGTCCTCGGGGGTACCCAGATTTTCCACCTAGTCCCGATTCTTGGTTAGGGGAACCGTCCAGCGCACACTACTGACCCCCCTTCGTCATTTCCAAATCTAACCTCAAACCAAAGAGTTGTTTATCAGTGCTACAAACGATCCTTAACAAAATTGAAATTTTTATATCAAACTTTATAAGCCCAATGGTGTTTGTCATTTAGAACGGTTTAACTTCCCTCTGATTTTATAACTTTAATTTAATATGTTGTGGAATTTTAACATTAATTGTTTATTACTAGACCAGTCGTCAGAGAGTTGGCCCCTAAAAAGCATACGAACAAGCTGAATTTTGCGGAGAATCTTAATTTTGTGACCCCAAAAATTATGTAAAAAAGTTTACTTTTACTTTTACCCCCGGGCTTCGCCCTTAAACCTCCATCGCAGGGGGGTAAAAACGAAAAAAAATCGATTTACCAAGAATCTTAGGGGGAAGTTAAATTATAGACAAAAAAATTTTGGTTGTCAATGTATCACTGCATAAATGAACAATCGGTCAATTTCAAAAAATATTGTACAAAGTTTTGAATAAAAAAAAAGATATTGAAATTGGCAGTGACCAAAAAATTTTAAAATTCTATGCAGACTATTATAACAGATAAATAATTAACTGTAGCCTTCTGTTTTGTCATAAAATACTAAATCAGTACGGAATTGATTTGAAATATAACAAAAAATTTTTACATATTAATTACTCTCTTCAAAAAGATTGTATTGTTTTATGTATTATTTTTTAAAATAATACATGAAAAACTGTACAAAAAAATAGAAGATATAGATGACAGCCAGTTTGGATTCAGACGAGGACTAAAAACGAAAGAGGTTCTGTTCCCTTTTAACGTTCTCGCGCAAAGACGACTAGATATGAACCAGGATCTCTATGTCTGGTTTATAGATTATCAAAAGGGTTTTGATGGAGTACGACGTCAGAAACTTACAAAACTGTTAAAAGAAAAGAATATGGATAGTCAAGATATACGGGTTATTGTCAGTCTGTACTAGAATCAAAAAGCAAAGGTTAGAATCGAAAATGTCGATACAGAAACTATAGGAATTAAAAGATGTGTTACACAGGGTTACGTGCTGCATTATCAGATGCATTATCAGAGGAACGGTAGGGTATATCAATAATCGGAAAAATCTTGAACAACTGCAGAAGCACTGCAATGCTTAGTAAATAGATTACATCAAGTCAGTAAAATATGGACTAAAAATAAACGTTAAGAAAAACAAGTGCATGATTATTTCTAAGCAACATACAGTAGGAAGGCTAGATGTCGAGAACAAACAAGTAGCAAGAGTAAATAACTACAAATATTTGGGAATCTGGGTAAATGAAAATAATGACCAAGGTAGAGAAATAAGAACGCGCATTGAAATTGTAAGACAAGCATTTATAAAAGTGAAAACAATGTTTGTTAATCCAGACCCTCCTCTGGAGCTGAGGATAAGAGCCTTAAGAAGCTACGTGTTCTCGACTTTGTTGTATGGGCTGGACACTAAAAGTGGATAATATAAAGAAGTTGGAATCATTTGAGATGTGGTGATATAGAAGGATTTTGAAAGTACCACGGATCCAACGAGTTACAAATGCAGAAGTGTTAAAAAGGCTACAAAAGGATTTCCAGGTAATAAAGTACATCAAAACAAGAACGCTGGAATATTTAGGCCACATTACCAGAGGTGTAATATGGCCTACCATAATACAAGGTAAAATCAAGTAAAAGATCTATATGAAGACGAAGAATTTCCTGGCTAAGAAACTTAAGAGAGTGGTATACTTGTAACTCAGTAAATCTTTTCAGAGTAGCCGCCAGTAAAGTACGGATAGCTTATCTTCTATAGGAGAAGGAACTACAAGTAGTTCCTTCTATACTAACTAAGTATACATTTTATCAAACCGATAAAATGTTTCTTTTTCTTCTTCTTGATTTTCTTTTTCCATATTCTCAAGGGCAAAAAAATGTTTGGGAATATTCTTTACTCCCCTCTTCGTCATTTTGTTTTCGTCTTTTAGATATTGGCCTATACAGTATGTCCGTAAAGTATGGAATAAATTCCATATTTTCTAAACGAAAAACCTCCTTAAAGAAATCTAAAACACGCTCTAAGTTTATTGTTCTACATTTTACAATAAAATTTCAGTATACAAGGTGATACACACTAAGGTGATGACGTCATCAACTCTTTTTTTAAATGTAACACCCTGTATTTTAGGATATTTTTAGATCGGTAAAAATGAGCTGATTTAAAAAAAGTATAATACCTACTGGGGGTCTAAAATATATAATTTGAAAGATATGCGTGAGAAAATTAATTTTTATTGATTTCTGATATTAATAAAAAATAAATAAATTATAATAAATAACTTGTAAAGAACTTCAGTATATAGAATATACGACTATAGTATAGAATACACGACTTTATCTTAAATGTTCGAATTGTAGTCCTTGTTGTATTTGACATTAACCTAAACGTACAAATTCTTGTAGAACCTTGTTTATGGTTTCTTGATTATTTCTTTACGAATTCTTGTTTTTAAGTCATCAATATTTTTAGGTTAAAAAAAACAACTAGTTTCCAGCTGTTCTCCGTGCCTAGAGGTTTTCTCCCCGACTCTGGAACTCAATTTTACAATGTATGTTACCTGAAGTCATATTTAATTTAATACTGAAAATCACAGTTTTTTAACATCAAGATGTATAATCTTTTATAACTATATGTAATTTAAAGGGTTTTTACCCATTTATTTTGGTGGCTCAAGCATTTTAACCTAGCGATTTTAAACCTGATGATGGACTGTTTAGTCCGAAAACGTTTGTTTTTTTTTTATGTAGCCCTTTTAAGGGTTTTTAAATAAATATATCCACTTACGAAGACTAACCTCTTTTTTGTGATACGTGATATACAGCCAGCTACAGGAATTGTTTTCCTTGTGGATTTTTAGGTTTCCTTTTATAAACAAAATTCTTGGGAAATAAATTAATTAAAGTAGGTACGAGATACCCCCTTAAAAACTGAAGGTATGCTGGCCCGTTTAAATTACCTTACAAAGTAGGATCCGATGATTCTATATCTTATAATGCCAGCCCATACGTTTACCTTTTGCGGGTATTGTGTATGATGTTCCCGCATCCAGTTGGGATTTTCTTGTGATTCTTCTTTCAATTCTGATGGTTGACTTCGCCATTTATGTATGCTTATCAGAATGTAGGCTTATTAGAAAAAATAATATTTTGAACCAAGAGCCATTTTTCAAGTTTTATTCCTTTGTGTACCGTTGTTTTGCAAACATCGAGATCACGACTAACCTTGCAAACAGAGATGTACGCATTTTCTTCAAAAGCAAGTAGAACATCTAATGTTGTATCATAATTGACACGCCTGAGTTGCGTGCATTTTCAATCGTACCAATTTCTTCTCAATAGTACTTACTGTGGACTGCGTTATGGGTCTTTCTGGATATTTATCATTAAATAAATTACACACTTTCATCTGAGTTCGCGATTTGTCTCCATACCCAATCATCATGAATCTTTCAATTCTTTGCTTTACACTCAAATTCATTTCCACTTTAAATTAATTCTAAGGAATAATACAGAACATTCACGAAATAATACAATTATTACTTACTTACTTACTCCGTGGCGTTACAATCCTTCATGGGTTTTAGCCGACTCGACAACAATACAAGTATTGTACTACTTAATTGTTATTGAACGTTACTAAAAATAAAAACATTTCACTAAATACTAGTAGTAGGCTACTTTTTTGCAATTGATAATAAATAATTTATTTTCTAAGAGCATATCTCTCAAATTATATTCATTAGACCCCGAGTATTATACTTTTTTGGAATCAGCTCATTTTTATCGATCGAAAAATGGCATAAAATATAGGACGTTGCATTAAAAAAACGAGACTATGACGTCATCACCTTAATGTGTATCACGTTTTAAAATGTAGAACATTAATCTGATAAATCGATGTGTTTTAGATTTTTTTAAGGAGGCTTTTCGTTTGGAAAATATCGAATTTATTCCATACTTTACAGACACTGTATAAATACGTACGTATTGATGACGACTCACAATTAATTAAGAATAATCGTGATTTATAAATATAAAATTTCTCCAATGTAGTGGCAATGATCTATATATATTCTCAGGTATGTTAACATTACAAAAACATTAAGAATTCTATCAAAACTATACTATTAAAGTAAAAGACAAGTTGAAAAAACAACAAATTTGAAGTACATTTTGATCTGTTAATAGAATTTGCCACGAGAAAAAAACTTAAATAAGTAAATTATAAAACTGTTATAATATTCTGTGTGAAATTTACCAACTACAGTTATTTTTAAATAACATTTGTGTACAGTGAAAATAGTACATACACTCTAGTCAATGAAAAAAGGATCTGTGTCTGTTTTAATATTCTAGTCGTCGAAGTATTCAGTTTTATTTATTGTTTCTATAATGTCTATCGAATAAATGAAAAGATATATATTTAAACGAGTTTTATTTACCACCCATGCGCATAATATTTCTTATGAAACTATAATTGAAGCATTATCCTTCAATGGTGAACAATATATCTGTGGCTATTTGACAAAACTTGATATATGTCAAATACACTGAGCGGCAAAAATGTGGCCACCCTATAAATTTCGGAAGATAAAATTTCATTGCTGTATTAAAAAACATTGTCAAGTTTTATGCACTGTTTCATATCGCATCTCAAATTAAATATTTTTTGGGATCTTTTATGCTTGTTTTTGACAGTTTTGACGTTTATGGTTCCGCTCGTAGAAGAACATGATCGCAAAGACATGATTGTTTTATTGTAATGGAACTCTTAATAAATCGCCATTTTAATGCAATTGCTATAAGAAACCGTCTGCTGGAGGTTTAAAATGGGAATGTAAGTGACAGATCTGTTAGAAGACGCCTCAATGAAAGACGGCTAGTGGCAAGAAGACAGGCTATTGTTCTCGAGTTACAAACCAGACACTGTAGGAATCGAATAATTTTTTCTCGACAATGTCAACACTGGGATATATAGGAACGGAGCCGAATTCTCTTTACTGATGAATTGTGATTCTGTTTGAAGACTGGAGATGGTCAAGAGAGGGTTTGGAGACGGAGAAATAAGAAATATGTCCAAGCTTGTTTGTACTAGAGAAGAAAGTTTGGTGTTGGTGGTGTCTTGGTTTGGGCTGGAATCTCACTTGAAGCTCGAACTGAACATATTTTCATTAATGGTCCCTGAATGCTCACTGGTATATAGAGGATGTTTTGGCAGAAGCAGTGGTTTCATTTGGTTCTTTTATTGGGGACAATTTCGTCTTTATGCATGATAATGCCCGGCCGCATACTACAAGAATCCTGACATATTACTTGGGGAAAGTTGGAGTTAAGATTCTAGAACGGCCATCCTGCAGCCCCGATCTGAATATCGTCGAACATATTTGGGATGCACTTCATTGTAGGCCAGCCAGAAAGTCTTGGAGAACTTTAAAACATGCTTCATGAAGAATATGAACGTATTCCTTAGGTTTTTATTCAAAATTTTTCCCTTTCCCTTACAAATCGTATGCAAACGGATATTGATGTTTTAGAGCATAACACTCAATATTAGACAATTTTGTTCACTCGTAATTTTTATTGTTTGCAATTCGTTTTAATATCACACTATTTTCTTTTGTAGCCTTCTAATTAAATCAATTATGCTAAAGAATCAAACAGTAATGGCCATTTTTTGTTTTAAAAATAAAATAAAAGTACACAGTATGAAACAGTACATAAAACTTTCAATGAATTTTTATTTTCGGAAATTTATAGGGTGGCCACTTTTTTGCCGGTCAGTGTAGAATAAGTTTTCAGTAGAGCGAAATTTAAAATTTACAACTTTATGACAATTTGTTTTTATTTATTACTCGCTCAAATTTTCTTAGATTTTTATAAAATTGCGTGTATAAATAAAGAAAATGCTGCTGATAGCGTACATTAATTTTAGAAATTCTATTATAAAAAGGGATTTGACTAACATATCATGTTTTCGTAAATATCTTTAGATGGCATAATTATATAGACATATCTTGTCAAAATGAAGTAGGTATATAAAATACGTGAATATCATAATTACAAAATAAAAATGAAGAAATTTATATTGAAATTAAAACTTTGATATTTAATAAAGATGGAGAGTTTTAATTAATTTATAAATAATTTTAAATTCACCAATTTATGAAATATCTAAATTTAAACTGCAGTATAAATCTTTTGGAAATGAGTACACAATAATTATTTTTATTCACTGTTATCAATCTACATAAAAAAAGCAGTTTCTTATAATTTAAAAATAAAACATCAAATTCCATCATTTACATTCTCACTAGTCTTGAGTTTGTGGTAAAATAGACGGTACACTGTTTCAAAGTATTGCAGCAGGAAAAGCAAGTCTTCCTTTTTTTGATGTTTTATGGCTTTAGGTCCACTATAAACACGTTGTGATGTAAGATCCATCTATCCTCTGCGTTTAATATTAAGCTTATAATGCCCTTATGTCTATAACACATAACTCTTTACCAAAATGTAGAACTTTAATATCATACCATTTCACATTTTCATTATCCACACCTTTATCACGCTTTACATAGACATTTTGGAAAGGGTTTGCATACGCTAAAAAATCTTTCTTCTGCATTCCAATAACTGGAAATTTCTTCCGATAAGTTGAAATCCGACATTGCAAATGTATACAGACAGCAAATACAAGATCAAATAAGGACAAAAAACTTAGAAGAAGAAGACATTAGCCAACTATGGGCTAATATACGAGATATTGTATTACAAAAATCGGTTGAAATATTGGGCAAAACCAAATCAGAAAAAAGAAATCATTGGTTTGATCATGAGTGCGAAATAGTCACAGGTTACAACATGGAAAATCAACAATACGTCAACTTCATAGTGAAGACCCAACAAGAGAAGAAGTGTCAAATGCTATCCTAAAACTCAAACGCAATTAAACCCCAGGAATCGATGAAATCTGTTCGGACATGTATAAAAAGGATCTACTTTTGCAGCAATTCATAAACTAATAATAACTTTATAGCAGATTAAAATTGGTACCAGAAGAGTGGCTAAATAGAATAATATATCCGTTGCATAAAAAAGGTGATCAACAGGAGTGTAAGAACAATAGAGGCATTACTCTATTATCATCTGAATATAAAATTCTTCGACAATGTATTGTTTGAAAGACTTAAACGTTTTACAAAGAATATTGTTCTGATATGAAGCTCATGCGTCAGAATTGAAGGAGAAAACTCTACGTTCTTTGACATTAATAACGGCCTAAGACAGGGGGACGCGCTAGCGTGTCTCCTCTTTAATATTGCCTTGAAAAAGTCATTCAGGCAATTAAATATTAAAATGAATTGAACTATTTTTAATAGATCGACACAAATTCTCGTATTCACTGACGATATAGTTATAGTGGGCAGAAATATGAGACATAGTGCAGTTTCTGTCAGAAGATAGACAGGAGTGGCGACTTATTTGTGAGCAAGATTCACAGTAGATTGTCGAGTCACTTCTGATGATGATGACCTTTAAATCCGAATACAGAACATATTTTTCAACTGTATGGACTAAGCTGTCAAGGTATTTTAATAGAGAGCAAGCTACTTGACCATCCAAGGTCTGACAACCCCCCATGACACATGAAACATGAAGTAATATTTGCAGTGCAATTTCTAATGATGAGGTTATATGTCCAGAGCAATTATAGTATAAAAAATGATCGATAAACGAAGACAATCTAACTTAGAAACGTATCAATGTAGGAATAGGTATCATCCCAAAAATCACCAGCACAGAGGGCCTAGAGAGCTCAAAACCCTAGCAAAACAAAAAAGAACACACTAATTAATATATGTAGGTTCAGAGTACTCAACCAGTAACTGGAAAAACTAATCAGGAAAAAAAACAAAGCAAAAAAAACCCAAAATAAACAGAAATTACGCGAGAACAACAATAAGCAGGAACTTTGAAAGTACAGAACTCAGACGTGGCAAATTATGTCAAAGAAATGGAGGAACAAGCTCCAAATGTGCAGGGCTTATAGAAGTTCCAAAAAGGAGAACTCGGCCTCTGGTAGTTGCTGGGTTAATTCAGTAGCTCTGGTACTCTCGATGCCGATCCCAAGCCCGGATAAAGAAGGAGGGGCTGCATGAGGTAAGGCAGTGGAAAGTAAAAAACAAGAAATAGAAACAAGCAGGCCACGAACAAGTCAACCAGTGGAAGTTGAAGGATAAGGATTTGGCAAGTCTTTAAGAGTAGAGTGCTGTAAGATCTTGAAGAAGAAGATACGTTAAATGAATGGTGGGAAACCAACAGTAAAGTTGTTGTGCGAGTGAGAAAAGAGAAGAAGTGCTAGGGATAATATCTACTAAAGGGCCTTCTAAAGACAAAGAAACTTGGTGGTGTAACGATAAGGAGCAACAGAAGGTTAGAGAGAAGAAAGTAGCTAGAAAGAGGTATGACAGGTCTAAAAGAGAGTAGGATATATGAGGAAGAAAGGATGCCCAATGTATGGAGAGAGAGTGTGTGATATTGTTCTGAAGCTATTTTTTTGTGGCATTTTAAATTAATTACTATTTAACTGGGAAATAAACCACAATTAAAGATAAAAATACGTTTCTTGACGTTTCAATTTCCACTTCGGAAATCGTTCTCAAAATACAAACACGGACTGTTTAAATTTTGAGTACTGACATAGAAAGTAACTGAGGGGGCTCCTTGGTGAATACTCTTTGCTGATGATATCGTGTTAGTAGATGAAAACAAAGAAATGTTGGAGAAGAAGTTGGAATGTTGGCGATGGGCTATTGAAGAGCAAGGACTTAAGGTTAGCAGGTCGAAAACAAAGTATATGTGGTTGGAAGATAGAGGAATTGTTGGGGACGCAGAATTGCTTGGAGAAAAGCTAGGACGAGTAGAAAAATTTAAAAACTTTGGCTTCTACATAATGGAAAATGGGACACTACACAGATCGAGAAATTGATCACACAATAGAAGGTGGTTAGTTTAACTGAAAGCAAACAAGCGGGGTACTTTGTGATCGAAAAATCGAGCAAGGGCTGAAAGGAAAGATATATAAGAGTGTAGTGAGACCTGCGTTGGTTTACGGCAGTAAAGTGTGGTCTATAAAGAAGATCAAGGAAAGAAGATAAAGGTAGCTGACAACTTCTATGTACTTGATCATATTATGTTCATACATTAAGTCCAAATAAAAACAAATTCAAATACCTTTTGCTTACTTTATTGCTTATACTTAAAACTATAAAACAATTTGTATAAACATTAACTATTTTACAACTTAGCACAGGAATACCTACAGTTCAGTAGTAGTAACGCCCCAATATTGCTGCATTCTATCCAGATCCAAAGAGTCTGCCAGTCCTCTTTCATGCATCAACGCAAAATCATACTCCAAGTTATACGGCATGAGTCTTTGCAAACTTCCAAAATAAGCTGCACATGGACCACCCAATAGCTGTTTCTTATCCAGAGTGAACCTGGAACCAGACCGCGACAATAAAGGATTAAAAGAGCGTGCACTACCAAATTGTTTAGATAAAAAAGAACCTTGACTGTTAGTGGTAGTTGCAGTTTCTGCAAGTTGAGGGGAACTTCTAGACAAAGAAGCCATTTTTAGTGAGGAAGGTTTGTTCTTCATGTTTTTATTTAGAGTATTTAACTCCTTATCAAATAAGAGTTGAGTGTTTTGTTCCAGCATATACTCCCAGCATTTAAATTGTTCCTCGGATAGTGCAGAATCTGAATCTTCTCTGTTTCTTTCTTCTTCCTTTCTCTGTCTTAATGCCTTAGCGACTCCTCTGTAGCTTCTTCTTTCAGGATTAGTTTTTGTATCAACAGATTCAAAAATCGATGGGGTGAGACTTCTTACTGATCTGCTTTCGTTTTGTTTATTAAGCTGGTTGATGAACATTTTTGCTGAAAAATTACAGTCGCTGCAATTATTTTCACTTTGACCACTAGGAGAAGATCGATCGTCGCATGGTAACATGGGAGGTGGTATAGGAATTTGCTCCAAACAATTTAAACATTCTTGGTTTAAAGCTTCACAACAGCAACCTGGTTGACATCCTCCAGTATTGTTACCTACATCACCCTGGAATTTATTTTTGCGTATAGTTTGCCTCAACTCTCTCATTAGCAGATCAACATCAGAGCTTAAAACATTAAATTTCACAACTATGATGCTTAAGTTCTCCTCAGCACCATAACTTTGCGCCAAATCTTGCAGTCTCTTTGCTGCCAGGATAACATTTCTCTGCAAAGTTACTTCCTTTATTCCATTTTCTGGAGTTATTACATCCCACAAATTTCTGTTCGCTATTATCATATACTCGTCTTGTTCCTCCAAAAATATTTCCGTAACATCCGGATCTGGTATTGTTAATTGTATTTGTGGGTTTGTTCTGATCTGTTTTCGTTGTTTTCTGGGCAGAACTCGTACAGGTCCAGATACTCTACCAAGAACTATTCGAATATCTCCTACACTGACAATTTTCATTACATACTTTTTAATGCTGCCGCAAAATGAGTATTCAGCAGTCTGTTTCGATTTTAAGACGTGAGTTAAAATTGAGTTTATACCATATTTCAATCCCTTATCTCTTAAAGATTTATGTATAGACAGCATTGTGTATTTCATATAATCATGAGCAGTCTCTTTGACCGTTCGTTCTTCTAAAAGAACTCTCGGAACAATCTTATCTACATTAAGCGGAATGTTGTTGTTAGATTCTCCATCAAATATTCCAAAGAGACCTTCGGTGTTGCAAAAAGCAGGCAAACGAATTTGTGATATATAAAGTTTTTGTTTATTTCCTGCTGTTTCTGAAAATCCGACCGACCAACAATGCTCAGTGAAGTCGTTTTCACAAAACGGAGAAGGAGTTAGAGGTAAAGTCGTTCTATTTTTTCCAGAAACATCCACCAAGCTCATCGGTCGTTGAGTTCTATAAGTATTAAATTGATGCGAGTCTACGTGTAGTTTTGTATTACAAGATAAGTCTAGGAATTTTAGATTAGGAGGTATAAGTAAAGTGAGATCAATACGATCTAGCTGATTATGAGCTAGATCTAGCACCCTCAAGTTTGACAATGAAGATAATTTAGGTGCAGTTTGCAGGAGATTGGAGTGAACTCTTAGCACCGACAAATGTTTTATTCGCTCAATATTTTCTGGCAACTTCAATAATTTATTACCAGATACCACCAACTCTTCTAACTCGGACCAAAATATTGCACAGTTTTCTGGCAAAGAGGTAAAGTTGTTATAAGCTATGTGAAGTATCTTGATGTTGCGTAAAAATGCAGCTAATCTTTCCAAAGACTTATCTATAAGGCAATTTGCTGTTAAAAATAACTTTTCTATTTGCAACACTTCATCTGGTTTTGGTAGATCGCAAAGCCGATTATTAGACAGATTGAGCACCTTAATATTTGGAAAAAATTTAAAGAACGTTTCAGGTAAATTGGATAAACTATTGTTTTGCATAAACAATTCTTGAATTGGTAATCTTTTGGATATCGACGGAAGACTTTGAAGTTGATTGTAAGCTAGTTGAAGTGTGTGCAAAAATGGTAGTTCGTTCAAAAATACATTTTCTGGTAGATATAATAAATTGTTGTTACTGGCAAATAGAGATCGTAGTTCGTTACATTCTGATAACCAACTTGGAAGTGTTTCCAATTCATTGTATGAAATGTCCAAGTGTTTCAGTCCTTTTGGCGGGTGGGCCACCGAGATATTTTTGAGATCTAAAAAAGAAAAACAGTAAGGTATTTAATAGCGTATATAAACAATAATATACGAAGCTAAAATGACTAATTGATATATGGACCAGGGAAATGAGATGTTGTTTCTGAAATACCGAATCGGCCGGTATATTTTTACTTTTTTCGTCTATCAGCAAAAAGTGAAGCATTTGAAACTAATCTAAGAGTAATCAACATAACACATATAAAAAACTTCGGCATTTTTTAAAAGTTTTTATTTCAATGTGTTGCCTACTAGTCCAGGCTGTGAGGCCGCTCCCGTTAAGAAAATGTTTCTGATTCGGTTTCTTCGCGGATTCCGGTTCAAAAATGTCTCCTTTAAACAAATCTGAAGGGTGCCGGGCGAAATTTTTGGGCAGAAATTGTTTAAACAATTTTTTTTAAACAAATTCCAAAAATATTTTTTTTAATCTGTAAAACATTTTTTTAGGTTTTTTGGGTCATTTTAAACAAAAAAGGTCTCCTGTCATTTTTCTCTATGGTTGATAGTTTTCGAGTTATAAGCGATTTAATGTCTGAAAAAAGGCGAAAATACGCATTTTTGAGGCTTGAAAACACATATGTAAATTATTATTTTTGAGGTTACCAAGTGTCTAAATTGAAGTTTAAACATTCAACTTCAAGATAGTGAAGAGTAATCAGGGCTTATTTTAATTTAGACCGTTGTTTTTTAATTGTTAAATATGCGCGTACACTCGATTTTTCAGCCGCCGCGGCGCGGCGCGCTAGAGTACGCTTCTATCGTACTTATGCATAGTTCACATATACACTTACGCAAAAAAACCCGAACAAATTCTTGAAGTTTATTAACATAGTTTTTTCCATAATTTATTTATGTAGGTATTAATTATTGTCATTGGGCTAATTAAATAAATCAATCATCGCAATGTAATAACCGTATATAGTTTTTTTCTTCCAAATTTGAACAATATAATTATTATTTATTGAGTATATATTTATTTATATCAATTGTAAATAATATTTTTAAATTATTATTTAAATAATACAATGCAGTAAATATTAATATTAGTAAACTTAATTTTAAATTGCGCGGTGTTTAAAAACAATATACTATTGCAAAAATGCAAGTTTTTACCTGTTTAACAATCGCGCGCTCATACTTGATTTGTTATTACTTAAACGATCATTAGGAAGACTATTGTTTAATGCCCATTAAAAGGGTATTATAGTATTAATGTGTTATTAAAAAAATTGTGAATGCATTGAAAATGTCTTTTTCCGTACCTCTTCTTAAATGAAAACTTACTGAAGAAAATTTAGTTTGTATTTTTTGTAATAACATCAACAATATTAAGTTAGTGCAAAAACCTAAAGTAGATTTTTACATAACAATACAAAATGCTGCTCTTCGACGAAAAGACAGTGTGACTGAAAAATTTAATTTAATCTAGCCAATATACCTTGTACCTCTGACGCACTTTACCAACACTTGTTAAGAGCTTTCGCTAAAACATATATTTGGCAAAATGCCATATATTCCCGCTATCAAACTCTCGATTTTACACAATATGGATATTATATGTCTGATAGTGGTGGGTTGGGAAACCGTGCAAATGCAAAAAGACTTGCAAAGCTAATGCTTGCAACTGCAAGAAAAATCATGTCAACTGTGTACCATTATGTGGATGTGATTTAAATTTTTGTGAAAACTTTTACTGAGTGATATTAGTGTGTTATTTAACAATCTTTTGTACAATTATTTTATGTAACTATTATTAGACTTTAGACGAAATTTATATTATAACTCAATTGATATAAATAAATATATACTCAATAAATAATCATTATTTGTAAGTATATGTAAACTATGCATAAGTACGATAAAGGCGCACGGTAGCGCGCGGCGCCGCGGCGGCTGAAAAATCGAGTGTACGCGCATACTTAACAATTAAAAAACAACGGTCTAAATTAAAATAATCCCCGATTACTCTTCACAATCTTAAAGTTGAATGTTTAAACTTTGATATAGACACTTGGTAACCTCAAAAATAATAATTTACATATGTGTTTTCAAGCCTCAAAAATGCGTATTTTCGCGTTTTTCAGACTTTAAATCGCTTATAACTCGAAAACTATCAACTTTAGAGAAAAATGACTAAAGACTTTTTTTGTTTAAAATGTTCCAAAAAACCTAAAAAAAATGTTTTCCAGATTAAAAAACAAATATTTTTGGACTTTTTAGGAGGACACATATGAGGAGACATATGATTTGTGTGGTTATGTAATTGTTTATATTTGTTTAATTATATTATATTTATGTTATTATATTTAACAATATTAATATAATTGTATAGTATGTCTATGGTTGCCGTAAGTCAAATAAACCTGGTTAATTTTTCCATGCACATCACATAAATAACACTAATTTCTTTAAAATCCTCCTAAAACATGGCGGAACATCTGCGCGGAGGAGATGCGCGTACTTAATTTTCCGTGAAGAGTGGGTATTCTGTTTGTTTATTATTCTGTGCTTCAGATTTGTTTAAAGAGGACATTTTTGAACCGGAATCCGCGAAGAAACCGAATCAGAAACATTTTCCCAACGGGAGCGGCCTCACAGCCTGGACTATACAAAGTTTCCCTTTTTTTTTAATAATTATAACTTAGAACCTTCATATTACCCGGAACGTTGGTTCATGGAGTGCTTAAACTATGATTAAAATTTTAAAGCGATTAGTCAAAAGTTATTTTAAATGTTTATCCCGATTTAAATTTTATTGCAACAATATGTTGTAGTCAGAAAATGTTGAAGTTACAGTAATTCTACAGATAGCTGATGAAAGAAGAAAGATCATTCTATCCACCTATTTAAAAAAAATAAGACAAATGATTTTAAATATTGTAAAATTATTATGCAAACATTAATTAATTTTTTGCTCATAAATAATTACAATAACTATTTAAGTGTTAAGTGAAGGTTTTTTTTTAATGCGTTAGGCTTTCACGGCCATCATCAACTTGTTAAACTGATTATTCATGCTGTAGGTAAGGCCGTTGTCTTCTGAGATTAGTTCTCGACTTTTCGCTCAACACTAGGGGTTGGCATCTTCTAGAGATGTTAACTGCTTCGCTTGTAGGTTGAAACTGACGCCGCATTGCAAGCAAGCAATTTAATTGAACCCAGCCTATGAGAAATGTTCACCCAGGTAGTACGATCGGGTGTAACAATTCATTGGAGCAAGGTGTATTAACTCGAGTAAAAAACAGGAGTCACCCCACCGTGCTCCAATGCTCTAGACCATCCCTTTCCCCCCTATAGCACTCTGATGCGCTATAGAGACACAACAATCAGCCAAATGCTCTTCATGTGGAGGTGCTGAGAAATAGAACCCCAACGTGGTTTCCTAACCGATTGCAAAAAACTCAGGACAGCGCATCTCCGCTATATTCCTGTTATCTTAATCTGACGTCTCGTTGTACTACGGTGGCCATATTTATGTTTTCTACTCGTCTCCGCTACACTGGTTTCGGCATGAAGGGGCGTGTCGTCGTTTGTAGCTCTTCTATTTTTTTATATTTGGAAAGCTTGCATTTTTCTATACATTTAAAAAAAGAAAAAGTTGTCCCTAAGTACAATTTAGGACGAAGTTGTTTCTTTCTTTAAATCGACAGAAGCTTAATTTGGAACAATTAAGAGATCTTATTAGCGTAATTTGTAATTACACACTTTAAGTTTTAATGTGCATAATTCGAAAACGATTACATTTGAACGAATTCGTCAAAGAAGCTTTAAAAACGTGGTCCTCAAAACAAACTCGCGGTAGTGATACAGGGGGAAGGATCTTGTAGCTGTATCTCTGGTTCTTGTTTATAGATTTCGACGTTTCTTTTTTTTATTTGCGGTTCTTAAAAGTTTTTAAGTTTTTCTTAAAAATGAAAAAAAGAAAAATTGCAAGTAAAGAATTTATACCTACTGTTGTTTCCAGCAATAATCGAAGTCAACCGTTTTCCATGCAACGTTAATGTGGTCAGAGCATTTCGGGAGCATTGTAAAATTTGAAGTTGTCCTACAGCGCTGAGATCTAAATTTTCTATATTGTTTTCACTTACATCTAACTCCGTCAAACTCTGTAAATAAAACATACTTTATAGTAATGATACTGTATACTGTACGGTAAATGTAAAAGTAATTTAACATCTAGGCAAAAAAGAATAAGACTTACAATTAATTTATTCTACCACCAACTATATTTGTTTCGCATACTATATTTTGCTTTGCATCTTCCGTAACAATATAAATTGATGCGATTTACAAGTATATAGTAAGACCAGTTTATTGAATAGTTTGAAATATTGGTAAACTTATCAATATTTTGGCAGTCTAAATATATTTACGTTCTTAAAAGAAATGATAATGAGAGAAATATGATATTTTAGTTTATTCTTTGAACATTATATATGTGCATAGGCGTAGTATGTTCTATTTGTTGGAAATATATTTATTAAATATACTTTATTATTAACTTTAAAATAGTTTTGAGGTAAGTAAAGTAAATTTGAAGCAAGTTTATTCTTTATATAGTATTAACCCATTAACGGCCGCTCAATGTACAAAGAGAAAGATCACAATTAATTTATTAGATTGGAATAAAAACACATAAATTAAGACTTATTTACAACCAAAAAGATTTTTTTTACATTTTCAAGGAAAACAGTTTAATTTTTAATGAAAGAACATACTGTATCTTAAATATAAATTAAATTTTAAGGTGAAAATTTTCGCTATTACAGTTATTAGAAACTATTAGAGGCACATCAAATCTCAGCTCTTACGAAGCTATTCAACAACATTTACGAGGCTGGTTACTTACCAAAAGACTGGCTACTATCAATATTCCATTTCCTAAAAAAGTCAACGCTAGAAAATGTGAAGAACATAGATTAATTAGTTTGATGAGCCATATACTTAAAGTACTCATTACTATTACCATTTACTCGCGTATATATACCAAATTAGAAGAACGCCTGAGTGAAGCTCAATATGAATTCAGAGCAGGACTGGGAACGAGGGAAGCACTTTTTAGTTTACAAGTTCTAATACAGAGAGCCAGGGATGTCAACTGCAATGTGTATGCATGTTTCATTGATTTCGAGAAGGCATTCAACAAACTCTCATGGGAAACTAATCTATATCCTAAAAACATCAGGACTCGATGGTAAGGATATAAGACTGATCTCAAACTTATACCTCCAACAAAAAGCAACAGTACGATTAGAAAACGAACTGACCGAGATCTTCACAGTCGAAAAAGGAGTTAGACAGGGTTGCATATTGTCACCGGCATTATTTAACTTGTACTCTCAAATCATCTTTAGAGAGGTCTTGGACGAATCAGAAGATGGAATTGCTGTAAATGGCCAATTTATAAACAACATCAGATATGCAGACGATACAGTGTTGCTGGAAGATAGTGAGCAGGGGCTCCAAAGGATGATCGATAACGTTGTAGAAGCATGTAACAAATACAACCTAAAACTAAATTGCAAGAAGACAAAAATAATGATCATTAGTAAGAAAACCGGCATAAACGCCCAAATTACAATTAACGATATACCGTTAGAAAGAGTGGAAAAAATATGCTATTTCGGCTGCAATATTAAGGATACTTGGAATCACAGCTACGAAATAAACAATCGTATTAAAAAAAACCAGAAGCTCTTTCCACAGCCTTAGGAAGATTCTCTGCAACTTTATCAATATACGCATAAGAATTCTTAGATGATACATCTTTACTGTTCTCCTCTATGGAGTAGAAAGTTAAAGTCTTACAGAAGATGTCATAAAACGATTGGAGCCATTTGAAATGTGGTGCTACCGACGTATGTTGAGGGTCTCATATGTATACCACACAAGTAACATAACTATTCTCTAGATACTAAGAAAAGGTCAAAAAATTATTAACACCATAAAAAAACAGAAAATTGGCTTACTGCAGCCACATCATGCGTAATGATAAATACTGGCTGACCAATATTAGGGAAATGGACTGGTCTAACATCAACTGATCTATTTCGAGCTGCTGTGAATAGTAATATAAATACTACTTTTACTATTTTTGCTATTATTTGCACAATTAAATACGCAACATGTATTTGCACCCATTTTTGATCAAATTTATGCGTAGAAAATAGGTCCAATTTTGTCATATTTCGCCGCTACGCACGCTGGCATCGTTTTAAGGTACCATGGTTACGCACGGAGCGAATAAGATACCTGTTAAAAGACACATGATAATTTCATAACTATATCGGTCTTACATAGATTTAATTAATCACTTATGTGTTTAAATATGCGAAAATGCGAAACTGGTAGTTTTGGTGGTAAATCTAAATTGATTGTAAGTCTTATTTTATTTCTTTTTACCTATTTGAAATGGACTCACACAGGCAACATATTCAAGATTTAACTTAACATCATTCTGAGATACAATGTTTAATTCCATTGAATAATATAAACAAAACATATACTTTTTAACATTATAATGAAACAAAATATAAAATAGTTAAGAATGGTGCATAGAATATAAAAAAAGAAATATTTAAAAACATAAAATAAAGAAAGTCAGTTACTACAAAAAAAAAAGAAGTAAAAATTTTCATGAACAGATGGTTAGACTTACCCCATAGTTACCCAGAATAATATGTCCTTTTAACCTATTTGATCTTAAATTTAAAGTTGTAATTCCTCTAGAATCTTCACTTTTCTCTTCGGGTTCCTAGAAAAACAAGTAAAACATCAATACGTGTGATTTTAAAGGTGTTTAAAATTTAAAGTAAGATTTTATCATAGTAAAAAATAGACAAAAATTTGTCCTATAGCAAACTTCATAATATTTAGGAAGCTTTGGTTAAAAAGATTATCTTAAGTAAGTAACTTAAAGCGTGTTCAATGTAACTTATAATTGTTTGATTCAAAACCTTTTTTGCTACGATCATATCTTACAAAATAACGAGACGTTATACCCTCGTCTTCTTAATTACAGAGGCTTGGTGCCTATTGTAAATAGGCGAAAACTCCCGTACTCACTTTTTCTCTTAAGCGTCAATTGTCTTGTTAAAAGACACATAAATCTTTGTTGATTATTGTTGTTTCGAAACGTTTCTGTGTGTTTACCTCAATTAAGGCGAATCTTGTCTTAGTTTTAAAATTCCCACTTCTTCACAAAGATTTAAACCCTTACAAGGAACCTTGAGATTATCTCACTTTTGTGAGGGTTGTTCATCTCCGGAGAAAGCAAGTCTACAGAAGCCGGTAAGGCCATGTATCTATCTGATTTGTGGGTCTTCCGCTAATCTAAATTATCTGTTATTAATATAGACCCGTGGTGAATTATATATAGCAATTGTGTTGATTGCGGCATTTGTTGTTTTGGTTACCTGCTTTCCAACAGGCGCTGCATTGTATTAATGTGGCACTTGTTTGTCTCTCTTGTTGTATTGTGCTCTAAGCACCTTACAGCACAATCTTAGCTCATTGTGTTTTATTGTAAAACATCGCGTTTTTCCGTTTAAATAATGTCATTCAAGTATCTTTTGCAAAAATATCATTCAGCAGCAGACCTTTTGAATTACATCTCCAGAGACTGTGTTGGTGATAAATTCAGTGCTTTATTATCAAAAGTTTATGTTGATAATAGGTAAAAAGAAATAAATAATACGTACTTACAATCAGTTTTATTTATTTACCTAGACGACCGGTTTCGCTTTCTACAATTTGCAAAGCATCTTCAGGTCAGTCGGTACAAAGTTAATTAAATAATGCCGGTACAAAAGTTATTATTGATTTGGAGAACATTGTATTGCAGTGTATTGGAGTGACTTACATTGTAGCAGAAGCAATGTTTAGTCTAAAGCTTGCTTAAATTACATTTTTCTTGCGATGACCCGTTACTATCAACTATTCGCTATTTATGCTTATTTCTGTATCTAGTATACTTTATAAGCAATTCTGATTGTTCATTGGAATATCTGTATGGAAGATTGTCACTCCATCTTTTGTGTGGTCGTCCAATACTTCTTCTGCCAATTGGTGACTTATCTCTTGCTATTTGGACGACACTGGTCTCCTCCATTCTGCTTATGTAGTTATTCCATTTTTTTATATTTTGTGTCCATTCATTTATACACTGTACATTACATTTTCTTCTAATGTCTTCACTTCTCTTTCGATCTCTCAGAGTATTTCCTGTAATTCCTCTCAGTACTCTCATTTCTGCCGTTTCCAGCAGCCTTTGCTTTGTGGCTGTGTCGAGTCTGAGGCATGTCATTATTGGTCTTACACTGGCTTTATAAATTCTTGACTTCTTCTCAGTGTTAATGTGTCTGTTCCGCCATATAGTGTTATTACGGCATCTTGCCATTCTATTTGCTGTTTGTACTTGATCTCTCACTTCTTTGTCCAGGTCTCCAGAGCTGGACAGTGTAATTCTCAGGTATTTTATTTCCATTACTTGTTCTAACTCATGTCTTCACTTTTTATTTTACATCTGGTTGATTCTTTGCTGACTACTATTGTTTTAGTTTTCTGAGATGAGAATTTCATATTAAATTCTTTTGCTCTTATGTTAACTGTGTGTTGCAAACTATCTTCATCTTGGGCTATTATTATTGCGTCGTCTGCTTAACTTTTATTTCTTTGTTTCCCATTTTGTATACTCTTCCTTTGTCAAAGCTTTTGAGCGCTCATCCATTATTAAATTGAAGAGCATGGGGCTTAATGAGTCCCCTTGTCTTATTCCGCTGACTATTTCTGTAAATACATACAATATATCTACATATAGGTTCTGTAAGTTATCCATCTATTCTGTTTTCGTTTTTGTTATTTTGATAGATGTTTTTTATAGTTTTTATTATATTAAGGGGAAATTCTCTATTACACAGAAGATAGATTACATCTTTGAGTCTATTATACTCTAGTGAGTTCTCAGTAATTTGCTTTATAACGAATATTGCATTTGTACACGATCTTCCACTACAAAAACCCTGTTGTTCATCTGCTAATCTTATCCGCTAATTTATTAATACTTGTAAAAATTTTGTTGTAGGGTTTAGGGTAGTATTTTTAACGAGTTTATACATCTGTAGTTTTGGTATCCCGTCTTTACCTGCTGCTTTTCTGTTCGCCAGCTTTTCAAGTATTTTACGAACTTCCTGTGCATTTATATTAAGTTCTTCATTTGTGGTAATTCTTGATGTTTCCGGTTCTAGCGTCGTTTGTTCTTCCTCTATATACAGTTTTTTTGGGTAGTCAATCCACGTATCCTTTTCTATGTATCTTTGATTTTGCAGACTGTAAAAATCATGTTCCATTTCTTTCGAAAAACGTCCCCACTGATCAATTTTTTATTTTTCTTACAAGTTCATGTATTTCGTTTTTAATTGTCTTGTAATTGTAATATACCTCACGCGTTTTTGTTGACATGTATTTCAGGAAACCTTTTTTGTTTTGTGTACATTTTTCCTTCACTTCTGTACAAAACCATGGAGCTCCTCGCCTTGGAAACGAAATATCTCATGAGTCATAAAATAGGGAACCCAAAATCTCATCTAATGTTATCTTAATTTATATTGAGCGGCTTGTACCTGCTGCTGTCCAATCAGCTACCTATTTGACTTCAAAACAAAATAGTGGATTTATATTGCAACTTGTCAAAGCAAGAACTTATGTTCCTTTGCTAAAAGAGTTGCAAACAATATTCTGTGTTGTCGATGCGTTAACAGAATACAAGAAGAAATATATAACTAAGTAAGAAAGTAGAATAGGTTAATATTCTTAACGGAGAAGGTAATTTTATATGAATAACATAATATTGCAACTACATTTAAAATCATACAAAACACTATAACATAATATGTTCGAACTATATATAGTTATCTATTCACTAATAGATAAAGTAAATAAACCATATCCTTATTACACAACGTAAATATGTGTTTCAATGAACAAAGTTGTTATTTAAATCGTTATGTAAGAGAAAGTAACCGAACAGAATTGAAACAAGATATAGACGAGCTAGCATAAATAATTATTGTAGTTGGTATGTATATAGTAGAAATATTAAAGCTTCAAATTAAGTAGTTATGCATGGTGTGATGAAGATGGGTCGGGCCAGAACGTTACATTACTGTTAAATCTGGAATCCGCTCGAAAGCATTGACGTAGGTCGATATTAAAGTGGAAAAGGCACGAGAGGAAGTTTTTAGTACCTAGCAGTCCGTGTACTGCCAAGAGAGTAAAAAACATTTTGTTGGTGTTTCACGATTAAAGAATTAACAAAATTTATAAATCAAGAGAGTAAAGAGAACTTTTTTTTGAATAATTTGCGGAGCACACTATATATCAACTACCAAGAGATAAATACAATGAGAAATCTTAGACGTAGGTAACGCTGGTCTGCAAAAAAAGTTTTTTCTCGTAATTTTTTTTCTCTGTTATAATGATATTTTGATAGTCAGGCCATGGAGTTGGGTGTCTACGTTAAAAAAAACTTGCTGACTACCCTCCACGCTACGGCATGCTGGACGAGTCATACAGTCTGTAGTCAAAACCCCGCGGGAACACAAAGTGTATTAATAATCATACGCTTATAAAACACAACTGGGCATCATAAAGGCCTTCACATTTTATTTTTTTTAACTTGTCTTGAGTAAAATGACTTCTATCAGCCTCTCTAGGCTAACTCTTGTCTCTTCCGACTCCAAATGGCTATTAGGTTTCCGAATGCAGACGGGTCACTATATTTCTTTCTCCTACATTCTCATTGTACTTTACGGAATAGACGAAGGCATCCTTCTAAATGGTGAAAGAGTAAACAATGTTAGATATGCCGACGACACCATGGTGATAGCAGATAGTTTAGAGGGACTTCAGAGGCTAATGGACAGAATAAACGAGTACAGTCAACAGTACGGACTAAACATTAATACCCACAAAACGAAACAAATGATTATCAGCAAGGATAATATAAATGGGGCTCACATATACATTAATGGGACGCAGATAGAGCGAGTAAAACAGTATTGTTACCTGGGAACTATTATTAACGAACAGTGGAGCAATTTACAGGAAATAAAGTGCCGCATAGGAAAGGCAAGAACGGTCTTTAACAAAATGAGCGCCATCTTCAAAAGTCACAACATATCCCTTGATACAAAAATGAGACATTTGAGATGCTATGTTTTCTCTGCTTTAGTGGTCGTGGGATGTTAGGAATCTCCGCGAGGAGGAGCCTCCCGAATGTGGCAACTAACTATATAGAAAACAAATGCTTTTTAAATTTCGGGACATGGAATTTGAGGAGTTTGTTCGAACAAGGAAAAACGCACAACACGATTAAGGAAATGAACAGACTGAAGCTAGAAATATTAGACATAAGCGAAATGCGCTGGCCTGGTTCCGGTAAAACATTGGTCATGGATAAAACGATATACTACTCCGAAAATGACACCCGAGATCATCTATATGGAGTTGGATTGATTATCTCCAGGAGAACCCAAGCAGCCGTTGTATATTTTGATCCCTTTTCGGATAGAATGCTATTATTACAAATACAGGGTAATCCAGTAAACATTAATGTAGTATAAGTGTATAGCTCCAAGTGCAGATAAATCAGAAACTGAAATAGAACATTTTAACGAACAACTCAAACAACTTCTACAATACACAAGAAAGGAAGAAATTACTATACTAATGAGTGATTTAAATGCAAAGATAAGA